ATAAAGCAAAGCGCAATAAAATGAGGTATGCCTGTATATTGCTAGTATCCCTAGAGCCAAGCATTGATACAAGCCAAAGTCCAAACTAAGACTACTGTCTCTGAGTGCCGTGTGTGGTACACTCATGGTAAGTTTCCAGAGAAATTGAAGAGTTTCATTGCACTGTCTTAATATTTGATTCCTGGAAAAAAAATATTCTTTCTTCTGGTCAGATTGGATCTAATTGGGTCTCTGTAAAGTCTTAATACCAATGCAATAATTTTCTTACTAAAATGATCAAACAAAATATTTTTTAAATGTTTTTGAAAATTAATTAATTTAGGAATATTATAATAGTTTGAGGAACCATAACTGCAAGCAAGCTACAATTCACAATCAAGTATTAGTGGGTGTGATGTAGATTTTCTTCCATGCTTCTTTTCTCCTCCTGTATACAAGAGCCCACTCACAGTATTAAATTGCTGTTTCCTATTGTGGAATCTCTCATCCTCTGCATCATGCAGTCATAGAATAGTACAAGTCTGCGTATTTCTACTGCATATTTTAGAAGATGCCATATATCCTGAGCTGCGGCATTCACGGTGGAGAAATAGAGCCTTGAAAAGCCAAGGTCTCTAGAAAATGCATGCAGATTTTGACAAACTACAGTTTATCTGTGGTAATTTCAGTTTTACTCTGTTCCTTTGCAGCTTCAGAAAGAAGTGAATCCACGGAGAGGGGACAGTTTCCTTTGCGACCAAAAAGAGAGTAACCTTCGTCCGTTTTCAACCCAGGGGAACCATCACGTGCCTCGTCCAATGGGGACAAGATCCTACTCTGATTCAGATGCCATACAGTTTGATGATCGGTCACTGTCTAAGCTGAAGGAAAGTGATAGATGCACTGCCACAGAAAACCTCTTTCTTGAATCACTGTCTTTGGATTCTCCTGATGAATCTGAGGAGCCTCAGCCTCGAAGATTAGAGCAGGAGAAGTTCTTGACTTGTCTACCTGAAGTATGTTTTTTTTTCCCCAGTCACATCCTTAATTATACCATAATCAGGGTAGCTGTCATTAGAGGTGTACCAATACATTGGTCTGATGTCGAATTGGCAGCAATATAAAGAAAGAAAATTGAGTGTATCAGAAATCAACCTGATTTGGCCAATTAAATGCCCATGCATGTGCACAGCCACTGCGCAGCACATAGGCAGCTCAGTCCAGCAGTGTGGAAAGCTGCGTGCAGCTGGTAAGTCTGTTGTAATTGAAGGGGAGGAGGAAGGGGGAGGAAAGAAACGTGGGGT